TAACACAGGAGTCCATAATAGAGTTTTGATAGATAAAGGTAACAATGCTGGATAAGATTTTTAGATGAATTGAAAGAGTGCTATATTAAACATGAATCCAGATTTACTACTAGCTGGGGTTATGGAGAGCATGTACTCAAAAATGGTATTCCAGCCAAGCACTGGAGTCACTGAAATAGTGGTATTTTGAAACCAAGCAGGAGAATTGCTCTGACAGAGACTGTAAGTCTGTCTTGCACCTTTTTATTTGTTTGCTTACAAATAAATTTTATCACATGTATGTGTAATTGATTATTTATGATAAGAATCGTAATCTAAAGATATCAGTAATTAAGTTTTATTTGCTTTGAATCTGTGGTGTTATCCTCACAATGTGTAAAAAGAAATTCTGTAACTTAAAAAAGCTACAGTATTTTTTTTCTGTTTATACTTTTAAGTAAATGTTTTAATTCACTGCAGCAACAGGAGATCTGCTGTACTACTGAATGTAAATAAGCTCTTCCATGCTTGTCATCTTACACTGATAGTATCATAAGACAAGTAATGACAGATTAAGACCTGCCTAGCAGAGGGAAAACTAAATTACAAGACTTTTATTAAGGCATAAATAAACCTATTAACTGTTATCTGGAATACCAATTAGTGGAAGGAGCGCTGACAATTTTATTTATCAACATTAAACACAATTATTAATTACAGACCTGACGAATCCAGCAGTAAGCAGGACATGTTGGGTGTGCTGGGGCCTTAAGTCCATTATATGAGAAGGATGATTACCAAAATCCTGTGGGGAAATAAGTAATTGTAGCTGTAAAATTTTAATTGCCTTGGAATAAGGTAAATTATATTCTCTTGTCTCAGAATATAAATAGTATGGCATTAAGGTACCAAGCCTCACTAATTTTGAACAGCAAATGATTTAGACATCTATAGAGGGAAGGGAAGAAGAGCCAGGAAACCCTCAGAAATTTGCATTGTAAATATTGCAATAAAGTAATTTACCATGTGCTATCACATCTGACATCTTGACCTGGCTTGCATGTACTTGTATCCATCTTACATGTTTTATGAATTACAAAATTCGGACATCAAAGAAAGACTTGACAAAGCATAGCATTGGAGGAGAATATAAAAACAACTAAAAAATTACTCTTTGACAAACAAATCCTATTCTAACGATCTTATCCTACTCTTCTACCCAAAGATTGATAGGAGTAGAGTATTCATTGCTAAATACAGAATTTGTCTGAAAGCCTTTCTGAGATATTTCCTGTGAGCTCAGTCTTCTACTTCTTAATGGAAATTTCCTACTGAATATTTTAAAGATGCTATTTATTGTTGTTGCTTTTTACCACTGAAGAAAGCCCCAAAACTAATAAACTTCGTGATGTTTCTTTGTTGTTGTTGTTTCTTAAAGATCCAAAGGCCCGGCTTTCTGAAAATGTACTTGTAAATGCAGCCAGGAACTCCTTTTCAAAACTTATGAACAAGCTGAATGTAATAATGGAGACTGGAACAGACAGCAGGAGCATTACTTACCTGGAGAAAAACTCCTTGGTACAGAGATTGGCTCATGGACTTCATAAAATAAATACCCAGGCCCTGGAAGCTGGATTATGTGACAGACTACCTGTTACGGTATGCTTATTTATGGTGCTACTTCATGTAACAGTACGTTCACAGCATAGGTTCACAGCATAAGTGTTATGGTGAAGCTGTCTTGATAGTACTGTTAATTTTGTTTCAGATTCTTTATGAGTCCATTACATTGAAGTCAGCTCCATAGAGAATCAGAAGTAGATTTGCAACACCCAAAGCAGTAGGGCGTTAATAGATCTTCTGTTGTCAAAGAATTTAAGAAGAGATTTGATATATCCAAGAAAAATATTTTTTTAATGTTCTGTCAAAATTGTTATTTGCTTTATAAGAACAAACTTGTAATGTTTGATAGCCTTCTTCACTTTAGCCGAAATGAAACAATAAAGTCTTTCTTACATAATCTTTTATTGTGGGCTTTACATGAAAAGAGGTACTTCCTTGAAAATGGAATTTCCAGTAACCCTCAACAGTACACAAAACACGTTCACATTCCTGCGCTCGCATGTGTCTTTTAGAGATGGACAGCAAAATGACAGCTTTATCTAATTTGCTCAGGTACTCAATGTGATTGTTTTTATTACTAAAATAGCACATTTTATAGCATATTATTTTGTTTCTGTTTACTAACAGAAAAGTATAGCATCTTTGCAAAAGAAGATATTTGAATTTACACAAAGACTTCATACAACGGAGGTGGAACGCCATTCACTGCGCCTAAAACTTGCTGAATTTAAATGGAATTTCAGTGAGATGAAAAAAGAAGCTGGAAAAGCCCAGAGCCTCCAAAAGCAATTAAATATGTTTAAGCAATCTGTAAGTATATTTAATTTAGATAATTTAACAAGATCCTACTTTTTACACGATTTTTTTTGATTTGTGTTCTTTCAAAAAACAAGGATAAAATCAATCTTCTATTAACAGAATTTTTCACAAAACTTGCTTTGTAAATGTTACTAAACTGTAAATCAGATCTGTTTAGAAAAATCCCATTTCCACAGGAGTTTCTCTTTGATTCATAAAAAGAGCTATTCTGTGTAAGCTGTATGTTTGGTGTTCAGTAACCCAGGTTAAGTTGAAAGTGTTGGTGTGATATATATATATATATATATATACATATATATATATATATATATATATATACCGTAACATTTGTAGGTTTCACATACCCAGCTGACATGAGGGTATCCAGTAAGTGTGTTCATGGGAAGTTAATAAAGCACAAACGTATTTTAAACTCTACATGGATATTGCTGAATATTATGATAGACATTGTACTGTATCTCTGAGTGTGTGTTGTATCCCAAGCTAGTCTTGGTGTACAAATCTTAGTGTGGTTGTTTCCCTGAAAGAATAAGTTTATGGCAAAGAAAAGAAAGACCTCTACTACATTCTGAGTAGCACGTACACACCCTTTGCTGTCTCTGTTTTACTTAAAACACTATGGATTTACTAACCCATAAATAGCACTGCCTGGCAGGAGTGAGACAACAAAAAGGTTGCCTAACTACTGGAAGCCACAGTGTAGCAAGTAATGGACACAGTATTTAAAGGATTCATACCTTTTGTGGGTTATGAGTTTGTTCCCTGTCATAAAACTGTGCCTTCAGTCCTTACTGGAGGAGAAGACACTTGTTTTAGCATGCTGGATGTTCATTGGGCACCTTTCCACCTATGTGTATTTTCCATACGTTACACTCAGGATTGAGTTTACATTTGAGCTAGCTGAGGAAGTGAATGGATAAGGATTCTTACACATGCTTTACAGATGCACAGTATAAATGAAACAGTTGTGTCCCAGAATGAGCAACCTTTTCTGTAGCTTTGCCCAGTGTTGATCCTGAGGCCTAGTTGGTAGACCTGTCAGTGTCTCCCAATCAAAACAGTTCTAAGCAGGGAATATTTTTTAGGTGATTTCACGTACATTCTGCTTCCTTTTTTATTCAAATGGACAAGGTTAGATCTAATCTCCTCGGTTTTGTTCCTGATGGGTTTTATTCCCTTATAGTTCTGGGACAGTTAGATGAGGTGGTCATATTTTAGATTGTTGTTGAAATGTAGATTATGATTTAAAAATTATTCCTTCTTTCTGGAACATTTTGGGGAGGGGAGGAAGAGCCCAGGAAGATATTTTGTTTGCAGGGTTAGTAAGATATGCATCAAAATGTGGGGCATTGATCTGCATATTTCCTTCTAAATACTGATTCTTTACAAGCTGGGGTGCTAATTTGAATAGAATAATGAAAATGTACTGTTTACAGTACCCTAAATGCTTTTTTTGAAATAATACAGTCAATAAAGTTGTCTGCTGTTTTATTATTCAGTGATCTATCTTTATGCTAAAAAAACCTAACTATTCATCTTTAGCACTGTTTTCGTTTAGAATTTGATATGTTTTCAAATGAAACTCTGAAGTCAAGCATGTAAACAAGTGAATACAATTAGACAATAAAACAGAATTTATTTGCCTTATCAGAAATTGATCACCCATGAGAGGTTTGAAGGTGTGTGTGAAGAATTAAATAACGCATTACATCGGGAGCATCAGGCACAAGTGCTTTTGAATGAACAGGCGCAACAGCTACAGGAGTTAAATAAGAAACTATTATTGCACTCCAGTGAAGAAGCAAACAAAAACCAAGTCTTAAGTGAAACTGTAAAGGTAAGATAATCCTTCTGAAATAGGCACCAGAAATGTACGTTTTGGTGAATAAGCCAAACTTGCAGTTCTTGTGCAAGTTAAATGATAGGAGTAATCACATACCTGCTACTCAGTCCATTAGAATTTTAGGGTCCTCCAAAACCACTTTCAAAATGAAACTTCAAGGTATAATTTATTTTTTCTGCTTTTGGGACTGGGCGACGTACACCAGTATCTGTAATCTGTGGAGTGTCTGTGTTTTACATGCCATCTCATGTTACATAAGAGACGGCAGTTGTAGCTATCATGAGGTGTTTCTAGACTATAGGAAAAATGAAGAAATACAGGAACAGTTTTATTTTTATTAGAGGTCATAAGAATGCTTTAAAACCTGGATTAGCTGTTTCCTGAATATAAACTTAGGATACAAAATGAGCTTCTCAGTTCAGATGCTAGTTGAGAATAAAGAAAGATCCTTTTTCATCAGGATTTAGAATTTTCTCCAGATGCAACAAGTAATGAGGGAAAAGATACTGTTATCAGAATCTGTGATAGCAAATCAAGGAGCAAAGAGAGAATAAGGGGTTTGAAGCTGGGTGTATATCTAATATGGGAAGAGAAGAAGCCTCAGGATGGCAGGCCAGTAATGTGTAGTGACCTGAGGTTTGCAGCTTTTATTTATTTTGTATTTAGAGCAAGCCTTGCTGCTACTGCCTCCTCTTCAGACCCACTACTGTCTTTCCTAGTATTCTGTGAATTGTTAGTTGAGCAAAAGAGACTGCTTTGCTGGTATTTTGGGAAATAGAATAATTTGTGATTGTGAGGAAGATGTAAGGAGGAAGTGGAAGGAAATGTCAAGAGGTGGGAAGAGAACCAAAAAGATGCAAGCTACAAAACTAGTAGAAATGTCAGAAACCATTGTTGAAAATGTAACTGTGAAAATGGATGACAAGGAGCATCACTCGCTATATAACGTTTGAAGTGATGTACAGTGGAGGAAGCTAAAGGATGTTGTTGTATTTATTAAGGAGGATTTTCATTAGCAGTATTACTTATTAAAACTGCTTTGCCTCACTAGGCGAAAGACAATGACATTTCCAGTATACTTCTTGGTTTTTTGTTTTTGTTATTTTTCTTTTTTTTTCCTCCCTTCTGGTCCCCTTACTTTGAGTGTTTCATTTCAATGTAAGAATAAACTTGTCTAGTGTTTAAGTTAGGTTGCTTGTTAATACTGTTGCTTTTTTGTTTTAGATATAACTGCAGAATATAAAAGCCATTAGACTTGTGTTCGATTTCTTTGGGAAATACTTGATTCAAGATTTTTAAATGTTTATTAGGACCGAAAAAGAAGGAAGGAATAAAAGACAGATGTTATCTGAAGTCTTCATTATGATCTACACTTTATACCTTAATCTGTGGTATTTCACCATGTTTTAATTTATATGCAAAACACGCTTTTACATTTTTTCAGAAATGAAGCAAAAAGTCAATTGTAGGCATTTAAAATATAGGATGGAGTTTTAAACAAATCTATTTTATGGATTATTGGATACTGAATTATATTTTGCAGCTTCTGTTTTTTTGTTAATTAAAGACTAGATAATTTTCTCTTTTTTTTTTTTGAGACAGCAGTGATCCTAAAATGCATCCTAACTCCACAAAGTCTTAGCAGTTGTTTGCTACTGGAACAACTGGACTTAGTGTAAAATGCTTGATTATAGCTGATATCTGTAAAGTTAAAATACATTGTAATACTACAGTAGTTGTGAGAAGATGGAGACTAAGAAGGTTGACAAAGCAAACTTTAGAGCTGAAATGTGTTGCTTACAGATTTGGTTTTCTAAGTGTATGACTCTAATTGTCAGTTGTTTCCATGGAGGAGTTTTGAACCAAATTTAAGTTCTAGACTTACTGCCATGTAGTGCCCCTAAACTTCTCTTTAAATAATAGAAGGTTTGTTGATGTCTCTTAATTCCTTCTTGTTGTTCCCTACAATAGTGAGAATGAATGTGCATATAAATAATATATTAGATACTTTTACTTTCAATCACTTATTTTAAAACTTACACTTCAACAGTAAGGAAGTATTTTGGTATTCATATACTTTCATGAAGTAGGCTTATTAAAGGAGTAATACTTAATTTCTTAGCTTTATCGGTTCAGATTTTAATCCTGTGTATTTTTATCTTCTTAATGGCATGTACCATAGAGACATCCAAGGTAGCCAATTACATTCAAGGTCAGCTGGAACTAGGCAACTCTTTCACACCAGTTTTTTCTTAGATGAGGTAAATCAGTAGCTGTGATTCCCCTGTCTTTGAAGGGAAACTTCTCCACAAATGCTAAACAGTCATCTCTAACAGACGTAATTTTTACTCCTTATACAAGCATGTCTTAATTCCAGAAAAAGACTTCTTTCTATTGGCAGGCACCATGTGTATATTTGTTTCTTTTTAGGTACGTTAGTATCTATAACGAAAACAGTGTATTTTTAAGGAGCAAGTCATTGAAATTGTTAATGAATGGTTATTCCTACATTGCACTTGTTAGTGTTTCAGGTGCAATGTATGTTAAATCATGTAACTTGCTTCTGATCTGCCTCAAAATAGACTTTGATACATGTTTTAGAAGTCAACACCCTAAATTTTGGCTTTATTTATTCTGCTGAGTTTGGTGAAGCTGCCACTGATTTATGAAAGCATAAAAGAAAAATTATCATTCAGGTGCTTTGATAACAGTTATAGAAAAATGTTTTCTGATGGGAAGGTTTGTCATGTTTATTTTCACCAGCTATTTCACTTAAATCAGTATTGCATATGCTGTGTTCAGAAAGTCTAGTGTCCTTTTCTGAACAGATGCAACCAGATTAGATTTTGATGGAGATTGGGATTGCTAGGTTTGTTTTGGAAGTGGATGTTTTACCTGAACAGGCTCTCTATTCTTCTTGTGGATTTCAAGTGAGGGTGTTACACAATTTGCTGCTTTATGTTGCTTTCCCTTTTTATCCATTTATGCCCACATATTTTCCCTGAAAAGTAATTTCAGTTATTTAAACAATTTCTTTTGTTAATACTATTGCACACACTTAGCAAGTCAGTTTTATAGTTGGCTATTTCTGCAAATAATGCAGTATTGTAACTTACAGAAGGGTTAAAAGGCCTCACTTGTATGAGAAAGGCCAAGTGATTTTCATGGTTCTCAAATACAACAGTAAAGATTACAGTCATTATGAATAGAAAAATAGGTTTAGGTTTTGTTTTTGTTTGTGGGTTTTTTTGTATGTTGGTTTGTTTTTATGACAGCTTAACTTGTAAAGATTATTAAGACTGGGGTGCACTAAGGGGTACTGTTGATTACCAAAAGCTTGTTTGTCATACTGTCAAGAAATGGCATTTCTGTGTATTGCCTGGTTCTTTAAAGAAAGCAGTATAGCTGATTACCATTAGAGAATTTGTATTAATCAAGCTTAGCATGTTGAAGAGAGGCAAACTCCCCTCCGAGTAGGTTAGAATCTAAAATTTGTAATTAATTAATTTAATGGTTTTTCTTATTTTCCATACTATGTTCTGAACACCAAAATAATGTACAAAGTAGGTAAGAAAGGATTAGCATTGCCATCTGCCCTATTCTTAGTCAAAAGAGGTCATGTGGTTTTGTCTTACAGTAAAATAGAAGTTAAACAGTTTTGTCATGTATTTTAGATTGTGTTAACGCTATTTCTGAAATAAGTAAGCCTGCTCATTCTCCTTTTCTGTTATGTAACATCCAAAACTACTAACTTCTTAGGTAAATAGAAAGATAGATAGCTAGTCTTCAAAGAGTTAGGTTAACTAAAAATTAGCCCTGAAGCTGGTCCTTTGTGCGTCTTTGTTTAAAGATTGCAATGCGCTGTACATGGAACTGAGGTATTTGGGAGGGGATAGTCTTCACATAGTCTTCCTTCTAGCAGCTGCTATCTCTACAGAATAGGAAAGACGCATAGAGAACATCCTGTTGTGAACTGCACCTGTGACATTTGCTTCACAGAAGGAAAGAAATTACTCTGGTGAAGTTTCAATTCTGTTATTCCATGTGCACTTCAGATATCTAACTTAATTTCACATTAAATTTTTCTCTTCTGTGGTTTGTCAATTAATTTTGTATGTTTTGTTGTCTGTCTTTCTACTTTATTATCTTTTTTTATCACAAACTTGTGCATTAAATCTTCTCCTGGTGATATTTCTTCTTCTTGTGCTGATTCTGTTTAGCACTTTAAAAGCAGCTCTTCCTTGTGCACAGCTCTCTTTGCTTTACTTCTGTGGTTAGCCTCTAAGATTCAGGGTCCAAGGGTTGCCATGTTTTTTTTCTATTTTAGAGATCACTTAATTAGGAATATTGATCCCTGTGTTTCCTTGCTGAACTTATTTCCAGTTAGGTTGGTAGGTCTGTGTATTTCCTTTGTTCTGTGCCTAGAACATTCATCAGTATCAGCATGAGTAGTGTGGGAGGGCTGAAGTCAGTACATGGCCTTTAGAAAAGTATTGCTCCATTGTCATCAGTGAAGCAGCTAGCAACAAAGTTGTTGAAGGTCTGCCTTAATTTTTCCGAGTCAGGCTTTCTGGTAAATATATAAGTAATGAGGAGAATAGGAGAAATAATAAGGTTAAAATTTGTAGAACTAAGTATGTGTTCACATTATCATGAAGTTCAAGACAACAGTTCAGAATTCTGCAGTATGAGTCACACAAACATAAATTGATTAGAATTTCTTATTTTGAAAGGATATGGTCATTACCATTGTGTTGCTGTTTCATTCCTCTGCAGTTTCTCTTTTCTGTGGTTTTGCAGGTTGAATGTTGGTAATATTTCATTGTAACTTGAGCAATGTTAAGATTTTACATTGGAATTTGAACACTCACACCAAGTGAACGTTTTTTTGTTGTTTCTTAAATTATCCTACTACTCAATATTTTATTGGTTAGTAGCAAGAATTTTATTCAGCCTGGTTTTGTCAGGCAGATTCTTTACTATCTTTGTATGGT